TAGAGCATGTTTGGTGTAGTGGTTAAAGGCACCTGGCCTTAACCACTACACCACAAGCAAAGACCACAAGCGTATGTGAGCATGAATTTGGGACTCATTTTCCTTCAGGATTGCAGATCTGCTGTCTACGATTGCTGTGTGATCCCTGAAAACAATGCAGTGACTTTACGGTATTGCAGACAAATGCTATGTTTAGGATAAGATGATACAAATATGCTAGCACACTATCTTTTTGCCATCAGCATGGTACAGTTACTCCTCATTTAGTGACTACAATTTGGACTGGCAGCTCTGTCTTTAGGGGAAGCCGTCATTAAGTGGTAAATGACGGTGACTGTTTTTTTCCAATCCCCCACTCTTTGGAAAACTCACCTGCCCCACCTGCTCAAAAACCAATTAGACTAATCAGGTATACCTTCTGCTTTTGTTTGCCTCCTAACCACTTTGGAAAGTTCACCCTGGCACTGTATAATTAACAAGAAGGGAATAAATGTTTGTACACTGCTCAAAAAAATAAAGGGAACACTTAAAGAACACAATGTAACTCCAAGTCAATAACACTTCAGTGAAATCAAACTGTCCACTTAGGTAGCAACACTGATTGACAATCAATTTCACATGCTGTTGTGCAAATGGAACAGACAACAGGTGGAAAGCATAGGCAGTTAGCAAGACATCCCCAATAAAGGAGTGGTCCTGCAGGTGGTGACCACAGATCACTTCTCAGTTCCTATGCTTTCTGGCTGATGGTTTGGTCACTTTTGAATGCTGGCGGTGCTTTCACTCTAGTGGTAGCATGAGACGGAGTCTACAAGCCACACAAGTGGCTCAGGTAGTGCAGCTCATCCAGGATGGCACATCAATGCGAGCTGTGGCAAGAAGGTTTGCTGTGTCTGTCAGCATAGTGTCCAGAGCATGGAGGCTCTACTAGGAGACAGGCCAGTACATCAGGAGACGTGGAGGAGGCTCTAGGAGGGCAACAACCCAGCATCAGGTCCGCTACCTCTGCCTTTGTACAAGGAGGGACAGGAGGAGCACTGCCAGAGCCCTGCAAAATGACCTCCAGCGGGCCACAAATGTGCATGTGGCTGCTCAAACGGTCAGAAACAGACTCCATGAGGGTGTTATGAGGGCCCGACATCCACAGGTGGGGATTGTGCTTACAGCCCAACACCATGCAGGACGTTTGGCATTTGCCAGAGAACACCAAGATTGGTAAATTCATCACTGGAGCCCTGTGCTCTTCACAGATGAAAGCAGGTTCACACTGAGCACATGTGACAGATGTGATAGGGTCTGGAGATGCCTTGGAGAACGTTCTGCCTGCAACATCCACCAGCATGTCCGGTTTTGCAGTGGGTCAGTAATGGAGTGGGGTGGCAATTCTTTAGGGGGCCGCACAGCCCTCCATGTAGCCTGACTAGGCCAGAGGTAGCCTGACTGCTATTAGGTACCCAGATAAGATTCTCAGACCCCTTGTGAGACCATATGCTGGTGTGGTTGGCCCTGGGTTCCTCCTAATGCACAACAATGCTAGAGCTCATGTGGCTGGAGTGTGTCAGCAGTTCCTGCAAGACGAAGGCATTGATGCTATGGACTGGCCCACCCGTTCCCCAGACCTGAATCCAATTGAGCATATCTGGGATATCATGGCTCGCTCCATCCACCAACACCACCTTGCACCACAGACTGTCCAGGAGTTGGGGGATGCTTTAGTCCAGGTGTGGGAGGAGATCCCTCAGGAGACCGTCCGCCACCTCATCAGGAGCATACCCAGGCATTGTAGGGAGGTCATACAGGCACATGGAGGCCACACATGCTACTGAGCCTCATTTTGACTTGTTTTAAGGACATTACATCAAAGTTGGATCAGTCTGTAATGTTTTTTTCCACTTTAATTTTGAGTGTAAGTCCAAATCCAGACCTCCATGGGTTGCTAAATTTGATTTCCATTGATAATTTTTGTGTGATTTGGTTGTCGGCACATTCAACTATGTAATGAACATACTTAATAAGAATATTTCATTCATTCAGATCTAGGATGTCTTATTTTTGTGTTCCCTTTATTTTTTTGAGCAGTGTATTTGCAATTGGAGAGGAAGGGATTCATAGAGGGTAAAATAGGCACGTAATGAAGAATGCACATCAAAAGGAAAGCTCTGTGCTGGCAAGAATGGGCATGCCACACAAATAACTCAGGATTGTTCTTAATGTGCCTGCCTACTTTTATTTCATTGCTTCCTCTTTAATGTCTTCACCCTGCAAGGTCAGGTGCAGAGCCGTGTGTACTGATTGTGATCTCAGGTGACTGAAGGAAACGGCAGAAGTTGTGAATGTAGTCAATGGTTATTTTTTTCAGCACCCTTGTAACTTTGAATAGTCACTAACCAAGGATTTAAATGCAACAAGTGAACCATCTATTTACAACCAGGAACATTAATATAATAACGATTGCTTCTTTCACTGAAAAATGAAACAATAAAATTGCTGAAAATATGGGTTGCTAGCATTTTATTGTCTCCTATGATCAAAGGGGAGATGAAAATATCCATCAATTTTATTTATGGCTAAAAAGGCCAAAAGCAAGTTACAAACATAATCTAAACTTGACAGTAGATAAAACAATTTAACTAGTACAATATTTAATAAATATTATATAATAGCCTTAAAACCCCAGCTCATTTAATTATTATTAAAAACCTTGTGTGTGTGTGTGCATATACATACACTCACATACACACATATATCGAGAGACTGTTTCCTAGTATGACTTGATTGCTTATTGTGCCCTATGACTATTAAGCGTTGTACCTTATGATTCTTGACTCTTGACGAATGTATCTTTTATGTACACTGAAAGCTTATGCACCAGGAAAAATTCCTTGTGTGTCCAATCACACTTGGTCAATAAAGAATTCTATTCCATTCTATATCCATAGTTAAAAAACTGACTGTTGCCATTGTAATTTTAGTATTTTTATGTGCAAGTAAAATTTTTACATATTCAGAAATATCTCTTCCTGATTTGGAGTTTATAATTGGCCAGATAACTTCTTGCTGAAAACTCTGGTAAAATGTTAAATAATAAAAAGTCAAACAATACTTTGGCAATTAATTCCTGTACTGAATTATCCTATAGTCTTTGCTTGATAAAATTAATTGCTTCTGACACACCGCTGGAGAATAAACAATCAGAATCAATGCCAATCTGATGAATATTTTGAGTCACGCGTTTAAGCCCTAACCCCCAAAAGAACTCCGTCTCTCTTTCTCTGTCTCCAAACTTAATAATGCTTAACCAAGTCTTTGTTACCAAAGAAGATTGTTGAATTTCCAGGAGAATAACAATATTTGGAACACAGTTTGGGACACTTAAAAGAGGTCTTTAAAATTTCATCTGTTCATATGTTATTAGCGAGTATGATCCAAACTGGA